TATTTATTTAATTTAATAATTTGTAATAAGACTTCATGATATTCTTATTACTGATTTCTGATGAACTGTCTCCACTTTCAGTGTTATGCTCAGATTCTTTGCTGTCTTTTGAGACAGTATTAAGTTTTGGGTCCTGACCTGTAAATTAGGATATTGATCATTTCTGATTTGAAATCTCTTTCAATTCAAGGAAAGGCATGTTAGGCATTGTCGGCAATGCTGAAGGATTTCATTATAGGGTTTCCTCAATGGTTAAGCAACATCTTTCTAATATTTCCTTGGGCAGATGGGCAAAAATATAGAGACATAACATCAGCTGGATTTGTATAGAGTTTCACACTGTAGGACCCCCACCACTCTCTATTTTCTATACAAAGACAAAACAGAATGAATGTAATTAATGGTTATCCTTTGTTATTCTATACCAACAATCATATATAGATATACAGAACAGTACGACTGAGAGAACATTGTAAACTGTCATTACTTTTCAATAAACTGTCTCCAGCTGCTGCAGGATCTTTGTAGACCGCTGAGTCGACTGGATTTGGCATCATATCTGTGCGTTAGGAAACAAAACTAAGCTTCATTTCATGGGTGCAATATTTGGACTTCAAGTATCTGAGCCTGATATGTGCTGGTCACAACTCTGTTCTCTAGGCCAGTTACACTATTTGCTATCAGCCAAATTTTATAATCGAATAAAAACACGTTTTACCAAAAACAAAAAATCATGTTTACAGAATTTAGAACCAGGCCTGAAATATCCTGGAAAAAACCCAGGTATCTATATATAAAGACAGATATTTGTTTAATGTACAAGTAATGCGTATTTGGATTTTTGAAGTACAGAAATCAAGAAAAACGCAGCCATGTTACCGTCCTCCATGGACTCACCCTTATCTTGCGGAGCTGTTCCGGGTTCATTCACCTGCTCCAGGGCACTGCTCGCTGTTTACATGAAGACGTACGCGTCAGCACAAAAGTTTTTAGTGCCATAGTAAAGTTGACATATTCATAAATAAATGGATTTAAATACCGCTCATAGTTGTTGTGCTGCTGACAGCAGTCCGAAAATTATCCAGCTACAACATATGCGGGTTAAAATGAAGACGTTTTTGGTGCCGATCACCTGGAACCAAAGCACCACTGTCACTCCATGTCCAGTGTTACCGAATGAAAACAAAACACTGTATACACCTAAACATCTACATCATAGAGAAAAAATGCTACCCGGAAGGCTGCCAGCCATAATACACAGCAAGCAGTACTTCATGAACACAAATGTATACACTTCGTTTAGTCGATCTGATCGTTTATAGTACCGAATTTCAAAGTATTCTTATAGTTTACTATCTCCTCGCGTCCTGTAATTGCTTCAGATCCTGGTTAGTTATTTTTAAATTAAATGATTCCGACTGTAATGGAGAATACAGATACTTACCTTGTAATGCTTTTAAGTCCAACCAAGTACGATGTCAAATGTTTAATATAGATAGCTACTGATTCGCTATTTTTAGCACTTCCTTACATCTCAAAGTGTTTCAGACAAAACAAAAGAACACTCGCTAACAGAACCACTTGTGACCGACAGCTGTTTTCCGCTTGCGTTTTATCTGCATTTCTAAACTAGCGGAGCTGATTTGTTGCCCAATATTAAAATGCCAAAGTAGCTTTTTAAATTTAAGCTGGAGTTTGCCCTTCGTATTTTCACACGTTTCCAGTTCCACATCACAACGTCATCTGCGGAACTGAGGAAATTCCACCTGTTTCCCCCGGATGATTCTTAGAGTTACACCGCAGTCTAATTCAGGACGAATCAGGAGCTGTATCCTGAATTGAAGTACTGCAAGTTCAGGAAGGAATTCAGGCGAAAGATGATTTCTTTTAGATTTTCGTCATATATTTAATGAGTCATTATTGTATGGATATTCAGTTTTACTTGGTTACAATCCTGTCTATACAATCCTGGAGTTGTAGGATGTCAAAGTGTCACATGGCCAGGTTCAATACAGTGCATTTATGGGTACGTGAGCAGTGCTTAAACCCCAGTAACATTTGCAACACCCTAAATCTGATAAAAACCAATGGTGTTTTCAAATTTGTCTGAGTGTATGAATTGTGTGGATACCCAGTTTTACTTGGTTACAATCCTGTCTTCCTGGAGTTATGGGATGTCCAGTGGTTAGACACTGTACATGTGCGACACGTAGGTGCCGCCCGAAATTGAAAAAGTGTCGAATTCGTATTACTCCCTTTCATTCATTGTCCATGCCCCAGTTATCCAATTTGTAGAATTAAATTATCTTTAATGGAATCTAAATGTAGACATTAAGATAATTGTGATCCTGGTATTACGCAGGCAGCTGAAAGTCCACAGCCGCATCCACATTTGAAGGGGACGGTGTGGAGCGGGCCAGCAGCCGTCAAAAAGTACAGGCGCCGTTCTTTCTAATAAACTGAGACTGATATTTGCATGGAGGCAACATATTCTAGTACAGAGCAAGCGCCACCAGAGGGCAGTCTACTGGCAGAAAAGGTGGCGACTGCGACCAGTAACAATATCACAGCATTAGTAAAACATATAAATAGTGGTGTCCGTTCCGTTCGTTGAATTTTCATTCTACATAGCGAGTATTATGTTATATTGTTCATGTGACTAAAATGTAGAAGTTGAATTTTTTTTTTTCTACTGGTACTCGTGCTGTTTGTGTCGATAGCCTGGGACTCCAACCGGCTCTTGGAAGCTGGTGGAACACTATCATTCTGTCATGACGGGGGCGGGGTTATGCAGCAGGACAGCGATCCAAAGCACAAGAGCAAGTCCAGAAACAAAATTAAGGTTTTGGAGGGCCTGACTTGAACAACCCCGGGCTTCAAGTCCCCTTCGAGATATGTTGTGGCAGGACCTTAATTCATGCTAACCCCCCCCCATGTGGCTGAATTAAACAATTCTGTAGAGAAGACCGGGCCAAACTTTACTCATAACATTGCCAAACACTGATACCTCTTACCACAAGTATTTATTAAAGGTGGCACAACCAAGTATTAACTTTAGGGGAGGGGGGGCAATTTGGCTACTTGGTCACATGGGTGTTGTTAAATTATTTCCCGTCAATAAATCAGTACATGTACAGTGTCTAACCAGTATTCGGTTATCCTCCATTTGTCAATGGTGTGAGCATACAACGCCAACAGATGGCGCTAGTGGATAGAGTAATAACATTTCTTGCTACTTGCCTGTGACAGATTTCTTGGTTTTGGAGAAAATAAAATTTCATACGATTAAAACGTATAATCTAAATATATGACACATTATATATAATATGATCACTGACCTACTAAAAGTGTATAGGCCTATATAATTCTGGTCTGCTTGTGGTAAACATATTAGCAAACCAAAGTAGTTTCCGGTTAATCTGAATTCAGATAACATTTGACATATTAATAATTTTTATAAATGTTATTATAAATATTATTTAATTTGAATCTACTGCGTGTCGTACCAATTAAATGAAAATACAATCCACGCATTGATATTCTAACCACATTTTGTAGCATGTTTATTGTAGCATGTGTTATAACAGGAAAAATGATGCGGGAAATATAAACTATAGTAGATAGGACTTGTGAATTATTATTTTAACAGAATACGTGGTTTACTCTGGTGTGCATAACTCCTCCTCCCTGTTTCAGATTCATCCCAACAGGTTCTTCCCACCTACTGTACTCAGCACTGTCCGCACTTGGAAATCGCTCTGCTCACCCAGCCTAAGTAGGCTACATGACAAACGGCATGACGGACTCCGATGCCGACATAGCAGCTATATTCTCTTAAAACCAAAAAGCCCTGTGAATTTAACTATGACTTATGAAACAAGTTAGTGTACTCATTGAAGCTATAAAATGCCTACTTTCCTGGAATGGCACTTTAAAATAAACACTTTACAAAAACGGTGTGGGTTTAAATGCAGTCTCTCTGGTCGTTCTCCTCGGGAACCGGTGATGTTTGACTTGCAGTTCCTCTGTCTTCTCTTGTGCGCGGCTGTTACGTGCAGTATAGCCTCACCTAACGAGACCTCGGAGTATTTGATCAAGGATGGAAAGCCTGGAAATAAAGCAAACTTGATAAACCATAGTATGACACTCGAGGAAGAAACGGACAATCAAGAAAACATCTTATCGAAGGTATTTGCACGTATAATTAGAGGCAGTCCCTGGTGTGTAATTGCTGGGAGGGGGGGGAAGCGTTATCTTTGAAAAGGCATTGTTTGAATTGAGGAAATTCACTCAATTAAACACTCTAAATATTATAATGATGATTTCAATACATAACAGGGTCTGTACCATATCTGTCGTCCTTCGGGTATTTTATAAAAAGCGTGAAGCAAACTGTATATTCATTTCAGTCTCTATTTCATCAGCCTAAAATCTATTGTCGGTTTCTTTCACTAAATGTAAAAGATTCGTCAAGAATAAAACTTTCTCTTTAAGTGGCACATCATATATCCGTTTTCTTTTTGTTGTAGCTGCTGGGTGACTATGACAAAGTGAAAGCGCTTTCGGAAGGCTCTGACTGTAGCTGTAAATGTGTTGTCAGACCCCTGAGCCGCAGCGCCTGCCGGCACACCGAGGAAGGTAGCGGCCAGCCTCAGGATTTTTATACAGTGGAGACCGTGACAATAGGAAAGGACTGCAAGTGCGCCTGTATTGCGCCTCCGTCGGCGCTGAATCCCTGCGAGGGGGATTTTAGGCTGAAGAAGCTCCGAGATGCGGGGGAAAATGGCATCAAGGTAAAATAATGGCATAATGATATTGAAAATGACTTCACAGCCACATTTTTGTTCTTCTGATGTATGAAACCTTACATTTCAAATTCTTTAAAAGATGAAGTGTCGAAGAATGTCTGAATGCGACTTGTGGTTTCCTTTATAAGTTTTCAACAGTTCTGGAGTTACTTGAGGGTGCATTTTATGGAATGGATCTGTTGAAACTACATTCTGTCACAGCAAAGCTCCTTAAACGTGTGGAAAATGTAGAAAAGGTAAGTTGTAACTTATTTATTTATTGTGGAACGTAGTTAAAGCATTCATTTATTAAACATTATACCCTTTTAATTTCCGAAACTGTAGGTATAAAGAGGAAGAATGAATAACACCTATTTCCACAGCAGGGGAAAATACACGCAAATGTAGCCTATTGTAATACACTGGAAACTGCAGCACCAAGTATTCTGGTGATAGTGTGGAGTCCACAAGGCGGTCGCGCTGCATCGTTTATTTTTTTTTCAGTCGTAATTGTGGATGTCGCATACTGGAGTTATTAAGCATTGCCAGTTCTCCCACGACCCTGCTGGCATTGCAGAGTTCACCGTGCAAGTAACCCCCACAAACATCATATTAGAGGGAAACCACTCAAAGTCCCAGCTAAGCCATGCCACTTTTCTAATTCTTTAAACAGGTAGTTTCTCAAAACCACATGAAAGGCACAGAAACCCCGATGACCAGCATTTATGAGCAGGCGCATGTTAAAGACGACTCGTCGCATCAGCAGGTGGAGAAGAGAATGCCTGTTGGCAATCTGGGAGACACAGCGGCGGCCTATGCACATCCTGGGGTAGGGCGCTGGGTTCTGACCACTGGGTTCGTGAAACTGGTGATTTTGGCATGTTGCAGAACTCTTTTTTACCAATATAAAGTAAGTACAGGCAGGGGCGGGCAGCCGCCCGGGGTGTCCGAAAACTAGTGGCCCCTTGAAGACAGAATTTCTGTGTTACATTTATGGATATATGAAATGATCACTTCAATTATGGCAACATCTGTTATTTGCATTTTTAGCAACAGTTTTCAGGATACCCCCATCCGAGTTGTAATAGACTATTCCTACTTTTAGGCTTAATGCTGCTGAGCTCTTTTCACATTGGAGTCTAGAGAAAAGCTACCAGTTTCACTGCCAAGCAAACTGGCATGAAGTAGCCTAACAAAAGAACAATTATGCAAAGATATAAGACCAGTGTTAGTAAATATTACAACAATTCCACTACTTTTGGTGGTAAGGAATAGTGTAATGAAATAGGCTACCTTTTCAAATTAAATAACACAAAATAAAATAAGGCAAAAGTTACTTTCCTTATTAACTAATTACTTTTAAATGCAGTAATTGGTAAAGTAGTTAACGAGTAACTGTAACTAATTACTAATCTTCTGTGTCTGATACGATCTACTAAAGTGGTAGACAAATTGGGAGCAGAACACAATTAAAGGAAGATATGCAAAAATTCAACCTTTGCCTCTGGGGTAGAATAAGGCATAGGTTAGGTTACAGACTAAAGGGCTAAGGCAAGAGGGAACAGTTAAAACTCTTAAATTTAGCCAATTGGTCCCTCAGCACGATACTGACCACCCCTCCAGCCATCAAGGAATTTTATCGAAAGCACTTCTGCCCTCGCCTTGATCGGTAAGTTTTACCGCTAGCACTTCATGCTTTGATTAGCATATCGTTGATGTTCTATTGTTTTATTTTTTTTCTCATTTCTCTTTGGGCTCCAAAATACTCAAATAACTCAAATGGCCCCCATAGGGGACCCCCTACTAATGTCAGCCTAGGGTCCACCCCTCCCCCAAGAGTACACGAGTCAGAGTGATTCCCGAATGGACGTCATTTTGTGTAAACAAATCTAAAGGGAATACACTGCATGTATGACAGTTACAGCTTATGTCTGTCACTTGTTTAGTATTGTTGTTATCTTCATGGATAGAAAAAGTATGAAGAAAAGTTTGTTGGGAACCAAGGGCTCAGTATACACCAGCTGAAGAAAAGTCAGCCAGAATCACCGAAGGAGCACACAAAGGACAGGAAGGAACCCCAGACATCCTATCTGAAAAAAGCAGCTTCGAGTGGGACAGCCATTAGAGGAATAACCTTCTATAAATCCAATGTTGTGGAGGAGGGTGACACCAAGGAGAATTGTAAGTATGATAGCAACCTTAACCAAAATGGCTTTAACCTGTGAAACCATTTCAGGATCAGATGATATTCTCTACAGCAAGAATCCAAGAATTCTTCCAAAGTGCATTATTATTATTATTATTATTATTATTAGGGCATCACACTACAATTTCACATGTTTTCTTCACAGAGACAAGAAAAAGGCAGGTATTACATTATGAAATGCAAAATGGAGATAATGCACCTAAAATATTTAAAACTTTTAAGTACATTAGCTAATGTTAGAGCTTAGTACTTTATACTAGGAGGCACTGTTGTGTGGAACAAAGGTGAAGCTGTGATCTCTGAAAAATGTCACAGACAGTGTCTGTATTGCCATGGTGGCTGTCTCTCCTCCAAGCAGTAGTGGACTCTGAAGTTGAGAGTGGCGACGGCTCCGTCGACCTGTTTATTGAAGATCTTCTCCTCGAGCACAAGCCGCCGACCTCGCATGCCCGCTCCTGGGTAAGACCAGTAACCAACATAGCTGCAACCACAACCACAACTACTTCCACGGATGTTGGAAAGACTTGGGGGTCTCATTCTTCTGTGAGCCCAACCGTGATCCCTGCAGTCCCAGAGGAGACCACGTTTGCCACGTCACCACCTGTGCTTGCTACAAATGCTACTCCTAGGCCAGACACCGCCGATGGTCCATCCTTGACCACAGAGGCTCTCAGAACCACCACGCTTCCATTAACCATTGCTGGTATAACCACCCCCACCAAGGCAGCTCCCACCACCAGCACGCCTGCAACCACCATGCCAACGACAGTGAGCACAACAGAGGCCAGCGTGTTGACTACTTTGGCAAGATTGATGCAAAAGCCAAGTACTGCATCTGAGGCTGCACAGGCCAGAACTACCTCAAGGCCTGTGCCAAACAAACACAGGAACAGCATCAGCTGGACTGAGGGTGACTCAACGCGGGAACTCAAACAAACTTCAGGTAGGTGAGGCGCCCTCACCTTCATACAGCAACAGAGTGATTTAGATTTACACAGCTTTTCATTATGATTCATCAGTTCCTCAATAAGGAGAGAGGTAAGGAGCATCCACTGGGATAGAGTGGTGGCTCTGAGGCTTGGGATCTGTGTTAGCAATTGGAAGGTTGCTGGTTCAAATCCCATGAATGCCTGGAATGATCCTACTCCATTGGGCCCTTGAGCAAGGCCCTTAACCTGTAATTACTTCATCCTGTGTATGACGTTAATCTACATCTAACCCCATAAGGAGGTCCTGCAACTTACAAGGAAATTTTGGCGGTTGGTGGCAGGATTGGCACTCCAGCCTCCAGAAGAAAGCTTACACTGGTCCATTTGGACCAGTGTGGTGCTGAGGTATCACCTGCCACATGGCTGCACTCAGGTTCTCATCCCTGAGGTGTTTTGTCATGTGGTGGGTACAGCAACACGCTGTCAATAAGGGGAATCTGTTTTTTATGTACTGTACTGTATGTCATTTATGTAGGAGAGATTGGAGGATTGTAGAAACTATGAAAAGCTCTTGCATTGTTTAACTGACATGAAATCAGTGTTGGACCCATTTGAGGAAATAATCTAAATGGCGAACTGGCCTTGCTCTTTGCAGAAGAATGCAAAGACACATTGGCAACTGTTGCTGATCCAGTTACTCACAACACATATGGCCGTAACGAGGGGGCCTGGATGAAGGATCCCAAAGCTCAAGACGACAAGATCTACGTCACAAACTATTACTATGGAAACATCCTTCTGGAGTTTCGGAACATGGAGATCTTTAAAAAAGGTACTTTATATTTACATATATACTGTATATATGAATTTCTGTGGCAAATCTGCATATAAAACAATCTGATGGTGCTCCTTTGAAAGCAGTGTGTCTGTAGACATGCTTTCTTTGCTTCCTCTGCAGGACGCATCACCAATTCTTACAAATTGCCCTACCACTGGATTGGCACTGGTCACGTAGTGTTCAATGGAGCATTTTTCTATAACCGGGCCTTTTCCCGAGACATAATCAAGTTTGACCTGCGACGGAGGTACGTGGCTACGTGGACAGTACTTCACAATGCTGTTTTTGAGTCGTCTGCACCCTGGAAGTGGAGGGGCCACTCTGACATCGATTTCGCAGTAGACGAGAGCGGATTGTGGGTGGTCTACCCGGCAATTGATGAGGAAAGCTTCCACCAGGAAGTGATCATGCTGAGCAAGCTGAATCCCGTTGACCTGAGTATACAAAAGGAGATGTCCTGGAGGACTGGGCTAAGGAAGGATTTCTATGGGAACTGCTTTATTGTGTGTGGTGTTCTTTATGCCATTGATAAATGCAACCAGATGAATGCAAATATCTCGTATGCTTTTGACACCCACACAAATACTCAAATGATTCCTAGGCTTCCCTTCATAAACAACTACACCTACACCACACAGATTGACTACAATCCCAAAGAGCAAGCTCTTTACGCATGGGACAATGGCCATCAAGTTACATACAATGTCATATTTGCCTACTAAGTGGCCATGTTGAAAACAGGGATATTGATTTTTTTTTCTGTACAAAAAAGAGAAAAAGTATGTTTATGTGGATTGTAGATCAGTCTGCATTGGCATTTTACCGATTTTACAGTGTTCTCCTGTGTATTTATTTCTGGTTTTCAGTGAACTCTTAAATACTTGCTCACCCTTGCTTTCTGAAGGGATGACTGGCAAATTTAATCGGCTGTTGAAGCATGACAAGGCTTTGCAATTTTATGCTTGTGATGCAAATATAGTAAATACTGTATATATTGTACTATAATATAAAATAATATAGATGTATTAACATTATGTAGAAATACCAAATAGTTTATCTGAGGGTGACATAAGGTAGGAAAACTTTAAAACATTAACAAATAAACATATTTTAGTTTTCTTCTACAGCTTATTTTTATGTGTATGCCAAGAACCACTATTGAAACTGATTAAGCTACAGCATAATCAACAGAGAAAATCAAGACACATTGTGTTGCACAAGGTGCATTACTTGTATCCATAACATGGTAACACTGTAATTGATGGGGCACAGATACTTAGTAATAACTCAGTTACTACTGAAGTACAAATCACAAAAATATAGACACTACTTGAGATAAATGATCGCAATTCATTAATGATGAACAAATGTGAGATCAGTATTTATTTCACTTGTATTATTCATTACTTGTTCCTTCGGTAGTTCATAAAGGTTTACAAAATTAACAGATATCATAACAAATATAGTAACTGCCTGGGATAAAATTGCTTATGATTCATTAATGATGAACAAACATGAGATCAGTATTTAACTTGTATTATTCATTATTGTTCCTTCAGTAGTTCCTTCAGTAGTTCACAAAGGTTTACAAAATTAACAAATATTAAATATAGAAACTACTTCATTAAACATGCATCATAATTCATTAATGATGAATTAACATGAGATCAGTATGTAACTAAGACTTAGTTTATGGTTAATTAATACATAATTAATAGCATAATACTATGTGCCCCATCAAGAAAAGTGTTACCCATATTTATATTGAAAATCTCATTACTTTTAAAAAAATCCATTTACAAAAGCACTTAATTTCTGAAATAAAAAATCTATATATATGTTTCTGTTGTGTTAGACTTTTTTCTCTGTTTATTCCTGGGGAAAAAATGATAAAACAAAGGGACTGTAAATTCCAGCAGGATGTACAAGGCTGCTGAAGCGGACCGTGCTGGATATGTGATATGGTGAGGGAAGGCGAATAGTTTAATGGTTGTCATTTTGACCTTCACTAAGTTTTATTAATATTTCTTCTACTTAATCCTGAGCAGATCTTTACAACAGTTTCAAATTAGACATTGCAGATTACAAATTCAAAGCTACAAATAAATCCAACTTTGAATACATAAAGTAAAATAAAACTTCTGTGCATAAAATATTTCAAGCTTTCTGTGGTAATGCTTGGATAAATCAAATTGTTCACTGAATAGAATTTAAGGATTACATAAGTCTCATAAGACTGGAGGTCAGTGGAACCATGGATTTACAAGTTCAACATCTGTGCACTGCAGGGAATTTGTCCACTTCTCAAATCCACTGTCTCAGTTTACCTCTGGTAGGAATTACAATCTAAGCCCACTGCATGATGTGTGCAATAGTGTGTCACACTGGAAATTGAAAAAACACAAATGGACCTGTAAGACAACACAATCCCATGATTCCTATATTGTTAGACACATTCAGGTGTCCAGCTCCCTTATAAACATCGTCTGATGTCATAGAGTGCAAATGATCCCATGTACTGAAGACTAAAAGGACTCGAAATAGCAACCTGTTCTGAAGAGAAAAGGCAAACAGATGCCTTAAGGCTCCATCTTTATATTCCAACTGCTTTCTCCTCACTTTCAGTTCATCTTTGCTCAATTACTATGGCCTTATCATTTCATTAATTTGAAGAAACCAGTCTATGTGGATCTAGAATGGCTATGTGGATCTAGAATGGCTTATTCGAGTTGAGTAAAGCTTTATTGTCATCTCAGCCATATACAGTAAAATGCTTTGTGGGTAAAATGAAATAATGTTCACCCTGATCCCACAATGCAACATTCATGACAGGACAAACATTACAGTGCAAAAGACATGAGTTATGGAATAATTTACATAGTGCAAAAACCGTTTTTTGTTTTTGTTTTACTGAAGAGAAACAGGAAGTGAATTCTGAGGAATAAATCACTGACATAAGAAATTTCAAACTGAACTGGCAGAATTAATTTAAAGAACAGCATGCTGGGTATGCATATGCTGTGTAGATGCAGGGTCAGTGCTGTTATACCTGTATTTACACTGTGTAACTGTAGTGTTGGCTTGTGCCTTTCCAGGCAAGAGGGTCTGTTACCACATTATAAAAAGTTGCCCTGTTTGATACAGCTATAATCTTTTTAGGATTTCGCAAATGCCTTAAAGGGCCAATTATACTCTGGCAAACCTGAAATGGTCACAGTATCAAGAATTCATGTAAAGCAATTGAGAAGAACAAGCATTAAGCACAAAGCCACCTGTGTTCATGGGGATTCTGGGAAATAATTTACAAAGAATTTATTGTCTTTAAAAAAGACTATTCAGATACATGAAATAGTTTTCAGTTTACTAAGAGAACATTCTCTGGGTTTATATAATTGCAAAAAAGCTGTCAAAATAAAGTAAATAAGGAGATCGAGAAACAAAAATGACAGTAATGATTGATACATATTAACGAAATATTTAGACTTGTGTCACTTAAAGTAAAAAATAATATACTGAAGTTTTTATTTTTAGCAAAGCACATTTATTTTTTTCTCTATAACGTAGAAGCCGTAAGGACCCCTACACCAGGGGCAGCCTGACCATTGGCTGGACCAGTACGGTAGGAGGAACCAGTCTGATTGATACGTAGGAACAATGGGACACTGGAGGTCTTCATGTGAAGGATCCTGGTGTCTGTGACTTCACAGTCAATTTGCATCATCACCTCATGTCCATTGTCCTTTATCACGCTATCTGTAACACCAAGGAAAAATGGAAGAACTTATGAGAACAAGAAATTTATCTAACTATTTAACGCATTCTCAAATCTTGATGGATTCTACATGGTTTCTGACATCACCCTTAAAGCTAGCCTTATATAAACAACAAAATTTTGGAACCAGTTGCAAGCTAATCTTATTTCTACCCATTTCAGCTTGAGGTTCATCATAGATATTCTTTAAAAAATCCAGCACAATTTAAATTTTCTCCAGGAGGGTTTCAACACAAGACCTCCCCCTTTCACAGCATCTTAATACATACTGAAACAGTAAAGGTAGTCTACACTGAAAAAATGGATACATAAAAGGATCATAATGTTTTCCTTGCAAGAACCAGCTGCGTTGGAAAAGGAATACCACAGGTTTGCCATGATCGACAGATCCATCGCGATTTAGTCCCTGTTAGGAGTTGCATCAGGAACACAGGGCCAAAGTGAATGGGGAGTGGAGTTGAATCACAAATTGGCATCGCTCCATTCAGACACAAACCAGATGCAAGCACAAGGAGAAATTAGATTTCAGAAACAAACAAAAAACCATGTAGTAACAGACAGGGTCAATGGCGCCAGCTCAACTTATTGAACACGCAGTACACAGTACCATAAAATCACAGTGCAATAACTGTTCCTTAGCCATACAGCACCTTCAATGTCATATTGTACGATACTTACTGTATTATACAGTACTTTGTATAGCGTACACAGTATTGTGAATTGCATGGTGTTGTGCACAGTACACAATAAATTGTGCAGCCTGGTTCTTTCCATTGTACCCTTAAGTAAGGGGTGACCAATTTTATACGGAAAGGGCTATTTTGTTTTCCCTGCAACTCATTAATTAGTTTCCTAATTAGATGACTGATTGACTGAAGAGTCCTCACACCTGAGTTTGAGCAGCTGACCTAAAAGATTCCCAAAAACCTGCATACACACCGGCCCTTTGCTTATAAAACTGGCTACCTCTGCTTTAAGTTAATGTAGTGTATTTTCTTAACATTAAATTTAGGCCAATTAATATTTAACATAACTGCATTCTCTGAGAACCAATTCACCACAGCAAATTCTTCAGACATGCAGTTTCCCAGGCAAGAGAAGTCTGGTTTTGATTAAATTGTTCTTTAACCTTTTCCGGAGGCGCATAATGCCCTGCACCCATGTTGCCATCTCACAGAAAGCCATCAAGGCGCATAATGCCCCGCACCCATGTTGCCATCTCACAGAAAGCCATCAAGGCGCATAGTGCCCTGCACCCATGTTGCCATCTCACAGAAAGCCATCAAGGCGCATAATGCCCTGCACCCGTGTCACCGTCTCACAGAAAGCCATCAAGGCACATAATGCCCTGCACCCATGTTGCCATCTCACAGAAAGCCATCAAGGCGCATAGTGCCCTGCACCCATGTTGCCATCTCACAGAAAGCCATCAAGGCGCATAG